GTTGGTCAGGTTGGTCTTGAACTCCCGTCCTCAGGTGATCAACTCACCTTGGCCTCCTGAAGTGCTGGGATTACAGGTGTGAGCCACCACTCCCGGCCTTTATTTATTTATTTTATTTTGAGATGGAGTCTCACTCTGTTGCCCAGGCTGGAGTGCAGTGGCACAATCTCAGTTCACTACAACCTCTTCCTCCTAAGTTCAAGTGATTTTCCTGCCTCAGCCTCCTGAGTAATCCCAGGTGCATACAGCCGCACCTGGCTAATTTTTGTAGTTTTAGTAGAGATCGGGTTTTACCATGTTGGCCAGGCTGGCCTCAAACTCCTGGCCTTAGGTGATCTGCCTGTCTCAGCCTCCCAAAATGCTGGAATTACAGACATGAGTTACTATGCCCGACCAGAATTTTCTTTAGAGACCAGTGTCTGATTTTTTGTTGTTGTTGTTAGTCTGTTCACATAAATACAATTTTTAATGATATTTCCTTTAACTGGCAAGAAATTACTGTTGACGACAGTGTGTAAATATGAACTCATTTTCACATATATAGCTTAGGTTCCTCTTATCTTGTTCTGACTCACAGGAAGAAATTGTAATTGAGATGAATATGAGTTTCTGAGTTTTTTTGGGGGGTCAAATAAATCTTAAATACATCTTGGTTTAGGCAAACAGAAGCAAACAGAAGTAGCATTGAAAACAATCTGTATTAGTGCATATAAGCCCAGACACCTGTAATCCCAGCTACTCAGGAGGCTGAGGCAGGAGAATCGCCTTTTGCTTCTTAGAGTAAACTGAGATGAACATAAACACAGATGAGTTTGTGTTCATCGCAAAGGTGCAGCCCTATTGTGAGGGATGACAAATGAGGATGAGTCTAAGCAGCAGTGCTGAAACAAATCCACCAGTCTGGGCAACGTGGTGAAACCCCGTCTACACAAAAATACAAAAAGCTAGCCAGGCTCGGTGGCACACACCTGTAGTTCCAGCTACTCAGGAGGCTGAGCCGGGAGTATCAGCTGAGTCCAGGAGGTTGAGACTGCAGTGAGCTGTGACTATACCACTGCACTCCAGCCTGGGTGACAGAATGAGAACCTGTCACACACATGCACACACACACACACACAGAATCCATATTAGTATCAGCAAACTCAGTTTTAGACATTCTCTCAAAAATATCTTCTTATTATTTCCTGCAGTAAACCAAGATGAATGTAAGAAGAACGCATATATCCATCTAAAAGGCATATTCTTTTTTTCAAGGTAGGTGTTATAGACTGAATGTTTGTGTTCCCCCCCAATTCATAAGTTAAGATCCAGATGGCTCATGCCTGTAATCCTAGCACTTTGGGAGGTTGAGGCAGGTGGATCATTTGAGGTCAGGAGTTCAAGACCAGCCTGGCCAACGTGGTGAAACCCCATCTCTACTAAAACTACAAAAATGGGCTGGGTGGTAGTGGCACCCACCTGTAGCCCCGGCTACTTGGGAGACTAAGGCAGGATAATCACTTGAACCCAGGAGGCAGAGGTTACAGTGAGCTGAGATCATGCCATTGCACTCCAGCCTGGGCAACAAACAGTGAAACTCTGTCTTACAAAAAAAACAGAAAGAGAGAGATATTCCAAAGATTGCTCCCTCTCTCTGCCCTCCACCATATGAGGGTATGAGAAGACAGTTATCTGGAGGCCAGGTAGAGGCCTGTCACCTGACATAGGATCTGCTGGTGCATTGATTTTGGACTTCCCAGCCTCCAGAACTGTGAGAAATAAATGTCTGTTATTTCAGCCACTCAGTCTATGGTATTCTGCTACAGCAGCCTGAATTGACTAACACAGCAGAGCAAATGAGAGTGAATAGTAGTGTTAAAAAGAATTTGTAGTCATATAATCAGCCTCAGCCTCAGACATTCCTATCAAAAATCCTTACTACTTCTCAGAGTAAAGCAAGACAAACGCAAGGACAGCAAAATGTGTAACAAAGGCACATTCTTACTAGAAAGAGAAAAGACAAAAATACACTGCTTGTTAAACCTAATTTTAATTATCTCTTCATTCTTAAAATGTCAGTGGATTAACAAAATATGTAAATCCCTTTGGATAATAAGACATATTTGTATATATTTGCCTTCTCAAAGCTTTTAATTACTATGAGATAAATGCTCATGAAAAATTACCTTGGTAGTTTTTTACTTTCTTTTTTTTTGTTTTTTTTCAGTTTTTTACTTTCTATGCTCTAGATGTCTCCTGTGTCAAGAGGAAAAAAAGAAAAAGAAAAAAGAATCATTCCTTTAATTAGAGATAGTAATTAACAAAGACAGTTCATGATACTGGGTACAAGGGTTGCAGAGAGAAATGGGTATATACATATAGGATGTGATTTTTTTGTTTGTAAATTTTTAAAAGTTGTGCAGTTCACTCATATAATAAATTTAATATAATGCATACTGCTTTATTTAGTATACTGACAATTATGCTTTAAAGCTATAGTTTAAAACTTTAAATTATTGCCTATTTATATTTGTATGTCTGTGTATGTCCCAATGCATATAAAAAAAGTTTATATCATTTACTACAAATTTTTATATAAATATACCAAAAGAATAAAATTAGAATTTATGTCTTTTGTATGAAATGACTTATTGTATGCCGAGGTCAACAGAGGTTCCTTTTTGTCAACAAATTGTTCTACTTCTTTTTGTATTCTCTTCAACTATTCTCACAGATTCCCTTGGATAATCTTGACCTAATTTTATTTGTTCAAAGTTAAAATGCTATCATGGAGTGAAATTCACCCTTAAAACATAGACAACTTCCAGAAATTAAATCAGTTCAGATAACTAACATCATTGTCCTTACCTGGGCTTGACAGCTCACAAATAAATAAAAGTGATATTTATGCTGATAGCAAATGTGTTTTGGGAGTAGTCCACAAATTCAGAATTGTTTCGAAACAAAGGTGTTTCTAACCTTGAAAAAAAAAAAAAACCTACACAAAGTGGATGACAAATTAAAAAACTTTTGATGCTTTGCTATTACCTAAGAAAACAGCTATCATAAAAACACAGTCATTGAAAATATTAGACCCAGAAACTCATGGTAATGCTTTGGATGGTCATTATGCTAAATAAACAATATTAACCTAGGTAAACACTCCTATGATCACACCAGTAAGAAAAGTCTTGGAGAAATTCAAAGAGGCTGTTCCTAACTGTCAGAAACAAGTTTCTAATTCAATTTGGGATGATCATTAGATGATCATCAGGATGGCCAACTAAGCATGCCTAAACACTTGAAAATGGAGCTTAATGAAAATTCTTCATGATATAACCATAAAGGAATGATAAGTTGACAACAATATAAACCAACACTGGTGGCTTAATTTTAGATGTAGCTGCCAAGGATGTGTTTGAAAGCATGTCTTATCTGCCAGTGACACATCCTGATAAACTGCCAAGGTGGGGTCACAGACAGGAATAGCTTCTATGGTCCTTTAAATACCTCCAAGTGGACTTCATACAAATACTTTTTACAATGAATTGTAAATATGTTTTGCTTATTGTTCATTTATTCTCAGAGTGGACTGAAGTGTTTCCTTGCTGGAGAGCTATCCCATGCCGGGTGGGAGATTGAAAGGGTTCAGGGGATGGCTTGGTTTTGTTTTCCCACCTGGGGAATTCCCATTTATCTCTCTAATGACCAAGGTGATCATTTTTTTACTAGTACTGCCCTTAAGTAATTTTACGAAGAAACTTCACTGTCCTTATCATCTGCAGTCCCCAAGATGAACAGAGAGAGTGAATGGAATCTTAGAACTAAAATTAACAAAGCTCTCAAAATCTCTTAAACTCCCATGGCAGAAAGCATTACCATTGGTTTTCAAGTATAAAGTCAACCTTTTCTGGGATCCTTATTCTGCAAGGGTGAAAACAAACTTACTTACTTCCTTCCTTCCTTCCTTCCTTCCTTCCTTCCTTCTTTCCTTCCTTCCTTCCTCTCTCCCTCCCTCCCTTCCCTCCCTCTCTCCCTCTCTCCCTCCTTCCCTCCCTCCCTCCCTCCTTCCCTCCCTTCCTTCCTTCCTCCCTCCCTTCCTCCCTCCCTCCCTTCCTTCCCTTCCCTCCTTCTCTCCTTTCTTCCCTTCTTCCCTCCCTCCCTCCTTCCTTCCTTCCTCCCTCCCTCCTTCCTCCCTCCCTCCCTTCCCTTCCCTCCCTCTCCTTCCCTCCCTCCCTCCTTCCCTCCTTCCTTCCTTCCTTCCTTCCT